AAGTGAGGTGAAAAAATAAACACAATAAATACAGAGCATCTCATCTTATTTGTTCCTTCATTCAGGGAGTACGAAGCAGAAAGCACGGTGCTGGGTGCTTCTTAAACACACACAAGGATCAATTATGTGGAAGTTTAAATTCTGGTGGGAGATATCCGATGCATAAATAATGATAATATGAAATTAAACGTGGTATGTGGCATAAGAAAAATAATAGAATATTGTAGTATTTAAAAAGGAGTGATTACTTCTCGTTGGTGTAATCATGGTGGCTTAATAAAGTTGGAGATATTTGACCTGAGGCTCAGTTCAAAAGGTATTTCAGGTGGGAGAAATTTCATAAAGATGAGGGCTGGGGGGATGTGAGGTGCAGAGCGAATGTTCAGTTTGGCTGGAGCACACGCTGTGTGTAAGGAATCAGCCAGAGATGAGGCTGGACGGAGCTGAGGTCTGAACGCCCTGCTGAGCAGTGGACGGTGCACAGCAGACCGAAGGGAGGCTCTGAACAGGAGCTGGAATGATCAGAGAGTGAGTTTTAAGGTGATTGATTAATCTTGGCAGTGGTAGATAAGACAGATTAGATGGTAGAGAGATTGGAAACCGTTTAGGAGGCTATTGAAATAGTCTAGGGCAGCAGTAATGAGAGTCTGAAATGAAAGTAGATGCCATGGAACAGAAAATGAAAGCATGGATTCAAGAGGTCTTAGCAAAAGACTCTCAAGTCATTCAGTTTTTCCAGAAGCAAGAGAATGTCATGTAGGGTATTCTTGGTCCACTGCTAAATCACATTAACTATTTTTAACGAAAGATAAAAATCTCATTACATGATTTTAGAATGTAGCAGTGTCCCAATAGTACTGAATTGGTTTCTGGGTACTTTCGAGTTTTCAAATTCTACTAATAATGTTATTTTTAAAAGATTTCCCCAGTTTTTACACAAGGCTTTTAATTAAAGAAGTAATACATACGCAAGGTAAATTTCCGAACAGTACACAGTGGTCTATGAAACGAAACCCCTTCTCTCATCTAAGAGCCTCTGTCCAGTATTCTCGAGGCAACCACTTCTATCATTTTCTAAGATGTTGTTCAAAAATGTTCTATGCATTTAGAAGCTTAAATACATACTTATGAGGGGGGTGACCTAAGATGGTGGTGTACAAAGATCCTGAGCTCACCTCCTCCCACAGACACACCAAATCTAAAGCTACATATGGAACGAGTGTTGAAAAAGAACTAATAATTAGCTGACCAGCTGGAGGCACAACAAGGGATAAAAGGGCCTCATGGTAGGAGATGCAGAGGGTCAGTCCCACCAAAAACTCCATGCCCCTGTGCAGAGGCCTCCAACAGGGAGGGATCTCATAGGTCCAGAGCTACACCCTGAGGAGCAAGGTATTTGTGCCCCACATTGGGCACCCCAACCCTAGGGACCTGCACTGGAGACACGAGGTCCCCAAAACATCTGGCTCTGAAACCTAAGGGGCTTATGTCCAGGGCACCCAGGGCGGTGTAGAGACCTGAGATACTCCTTTGAAAGGACTTGCACACTGTCTCACTCATCCCAGGACCCAGTACAAAGGCAGCAGTTAGAGAAGTGCCTGGACTATATGTGAAGGAGGTTCATTTGCTAATCTTAAAGCATCTGCTGGAGGGGCAGGGACAAGTTGGGACTTTCTTTGGGGACAGAGGCATGGGTGAGCGCCGTTTTTGCACTCTCCCTATACCTTGCTAGCGCAGGTGGGCACACACAAGCATAGCCTTGCTATAGCCTTGGGTGTGCCCCATTCCCAGCGCTCTTGCTCTACCTCGCTAGAGGCAAGGGTGTGCCCTTCCCCCAATGCTCTTCCCTGCTGGGGGTGAGCACAGTCCACACAGGGGGCGCCCCTTGATTGCCTGGCCCTGGTGGCCAGAGGGGCTTGCATTTCTGGGCCCCAAAGTCACAATCAGAGAAACACTTCTGTGCAGGCTATCACCCCGCTGTGCAGGCTATCACCCCACCCCCCTGCTGGTTTTAGATAGCAGACTAAAACCATCCCCAGTCTGCCTGTGAAAAAGGTCCATTTCCTTGTCTTGTAGCTTCAACCTGAGGGACAGGCTACAGGTTTGTTACACATCTAGGGGCTACAGAGGAGCTCGCAGGGAACGTAGACAGGGAGATACCATCCTTCAGCCCTCCCTTGGCCTCGCCACAACTTACTGGTACCTCCCCAGAGTTTATTCATTCATCTGAAACCCTGATTTTTGCAAACTGTCATGCAGGAACATGTTCAGATCTGGTCTGGAAGTCAGCAGGGTTTATAATTGTGGACCCACAGGGCTGCATGGATTTGCATACTTTAAAAACTGCTTGCTGAAGAGCTGGCTTCTAATCAGCCTAAAACCAGGTGCTGACTGAGATCCCTCTTATTGGAACACTGCTGGGTCTTCACACAGTGTCCACACCTGGGATTTATCAAGTATTAACCAGGCTACTTAGACAATCGCAAGGGTTCAGGAGTCAACCAAGAGCTGGGGAAAGGTTGAACAATAAGGTTCATCTCCTACACGTGGTCATTTCATCAAGACTGGGAGAGGCACCTGTTTTGCTAAATTCATAGAAACAAACACAGAGTCAAGCAGAATGAGGGAGCAGAGGAGTGTATTCCAAATGAAAGAACAAGACAAAACCCCAGAAAAAGACCCATTAAAATGGAGATACAGAGAATAGATTGGTGGTTACCAGAGGAAGGGGGTAGGCAAAATTGGGAAGTAGGTCAATTGTACAGTGACTGATGGTAACTAGACTTAACAGTGGTGATCACTTTGTAGTGCATACAAATAGCAAATTGTGTTGTACACCTGAAACTTATGTAATGTTAGCTACCAATTTTACCTCAATATGAAAATAGAAAGAAGAAAAATACATATAGTCTCTTCCTCCATCTTTTGACCCAATATGCTCCCTCCCATTCTCCCCTTTGATCTTTTTTTCCTTTCTGCTTCCGTAATGCTTTCTCTAGTACAGAGTTTCTCAACTCATTGCTATAGAAATTTGGGGCTGGATAATTCTTTGTCATGGAAGCTGTCTTGTGCAGTGTAGATCACAGGGATGTAGCAGCATCCCTGGCCTCCACCCAGTAGATGGCAGTAGCTCTCCCTAATTGTGACAGCCACAAAGGTCTCCAGCTATTGTCAAATGTTCCCTGAAGGGCAATGTTGTCCTGGTTAAGAACCACTACTACAATAAAACATTTCTATCACTCTTCCTTTTATTAAATCCAGCTGTTTATGTCTTTCTCCCCACGAGTCTATGTGCTTCTTCAGAACAGGTAGGATATCTTAATTATTTCTTCATTTTTATGACCCAGTACTTTGCTCACACTATCTGCCTCACAAAGAGTTGTTAAATGAAAGGAATAGACATGGCATTGAATAGAATTAATCTGTATATCCTAAACACCATGAAAATTCTCACTAAAGTAAAAATAACCAAATACATGCTAATAATTTTCCTGGGTACTTGTGGGGTTACTGAGTGTCATAAACACTTTAATCATCAAGGTTTTCATGTAGTTTGGGGAGGCAAAGAAGTATTACATGTGAGCAAGATGCTGAGAAGGATTCAGTTCTGACGGAGGTTTGATCAAAGAGCAAAGACTTTCCGCTATAGACTCTATGAACTCTGAAAGAGCCTAGTGTGATTTCAAATCTGCACTCATACGTACATTTATGCTCTATTGTCTCTGTACATAGTAAAGGCAATTAAATATTACCTTATAAACCTGCCAGATATGTCAAAAAATTTGACCTACACTGACCACAATAATTGATTTGCCGCTGCAGTGATACTCCTTCAGGACTGAAAAGCAGTAAATATTCTATGTGTGCGAAATAACTGCCTAAATGTTTGGGTGACACACTGAGGAATCTCTAATCAAACTGAAAATAGAGCCATGGTAAGAAAGCAAAATATAATTATTTAGTTGGAATTTGGCCAGTGTAGCATTCTTTGAATTCCTAAGGAAAGGAGCATAAGAACTTTAAATTATCCTGTGCTTGAACCACAAATATATATATATATATATATATATATATATATATATATATTTCTGCCTCAATACAATGTACCCATTACCCTTTGAATCTCCACTTATTCGACCTTCATGGCTCCCATCCAAGCTCCTAGGGCTCTGAACTCTTGTTTTATCTTGATATAAATCTGTCTTTATCTCATCAGAAAACGTATTGTTTTATTTCCCACGTTCTATAGAAATGATGAAAATTATCATTATCTAAGCTAACTAACTCTTACACTCACAGGTACCTTATTTCAATACGTGTCTTGGGATTAGCTGCTTTAAAAATATTTCCAAAAGGATTTTACATTTCTAAGTACTTTAACATTACTAATATGTTAAGATTTTTTATTCTGACCAAATTAGGGCATCTGAATCAAATAATTTAACTGGCTGTTTTCCCTTGGGATATTTTAAATAAATTACTCAACACCCAATATGTCAAAAGTATATTTTGAAGCTACTTCTTCAAAACCACTGTTTTTTATTGAAGACTTAAGATAATATTTACGTCATCTCACAGGTGTTCTTTTTAAAAGCATCTAGCTCTCACAGCAGGCACTCATTTATCCTCCCTTCCTTCTTTCTTTCCCATATGATTTATTATAACCGGACATATTGAGATATTCAATCAACACATTTATTGATTATCTGCTCTACAAGGCATTCTGTCAGATGTGATGGGGAATTCAAAGATGCATAAGACAGGTCTTCTGGAGAATATAATCTGCTATCAAAGATAGACATGGAGCAGAATAATACAAACAATGTTGTGACTGTATTTATAGTTTTGCTTGTAGAAGTTAAATATATTTCTTATATTTATCTGGCAACTGATAACTATATTTTACCTCAGAACTCCTTAATAAATAGAGGATTCACCACCATCATTTTAAAAAAACTTTATGGAATAACATTTTTTTTAAATTGGTGTTTATTTCCTACCAGACAAGGCTGTCAAATTTGCATTTTTGATGAAAACTTCAGTTATTCCAAGAGCCTTCAAAACATGTTTTAAATCAATTTCCTGTTCCACTGTGAACCTGGAGAACACAGAGGGGAAAAAGTATTTAGTTACAGCATTTTAAAAGTATTTAGTTACAGCCTTTACAAAGTATTCAGTTACAGCGTCCAGCTACCTGGGACAGGAATAAAATGTTAGATATGTTGATTTTTAAAAGTCTGTTTTATAGAGGGTAAATTATACTGAAACTGGATTTTGACTATAAGTAGTATTTGATTGTTACTGTAAAAAAAGGGAGCATCGAAAAGAATAACATAGCAGAATCGTATTAAATTATTAAGTAGGAAGCCAGATTGGTCTTAATATGGAATCTCTCCCCATGAGATTGTATCAAACCAATGAATTGTATCACCCCTCTTTCCAGTGAAAGATATGGACCGAGCATGGCTGTCTTAACAAGTGCAGTTTTTAAAAGCAAAGGCTTTTATTACTTTTTTATAAAAAGTGAAAAACTGGTTAGAACTAAATACTTCCTTTTTTAAAAGATGTTGCCTCCTAATCAATACAGATCATAAATATAAGTTTTTAGGCAATGGGCTGTGTCCTTAAAAAAGCTAAGTCTGTAATAGTCACAAAACGTTACTTTAGCATCATTTCTGATGTCTGGTTTTAAGAAGAATGAAAAGAGAATGATTGCTATAAACAAGACTCAGACACCAAGAGGAATAATCAGGGGAAAGCCAACAGATGAGTAAAAGTATAACAAACATATTAGACTAAGTACTAAGTTTTATCTATCTCTTACACTTTAACTTGCACTTAACATTGTTTATTTTATTTTCCACAAAAAGCGGATATTGACTGTGAAAGTAGAAAAGGGGGATGAGTAGGGAAATACATTGGAGAATATATTCAGTGACTTGAATGAATTCTTAAAGTGTTTTCTCTGTGTGCTTTGTTATTTATTTGTTTGCTTATTGGTCACATATGTAGCTTACTATATAATAGGAACTGTTCCAACAATATAAAACAGATTAATTTAACAAAAACAGATTAATTTAAATATCACTACAGCTCTTTGAGGTAGGTATTATTATCTTCAGTTAATATTTGAAGAAACTGAGCAGCAGAGAGATGGAATAACTTGACCAAGTTCATACAGCTAGTGAGTGGCGGAGTTGGGATAGGGATCCAGGTAGTAGTATATACATCCTGATCTACCTAAAATAGGAAAGTGAAGGAAGATGTCAGTAAGGGTTCTTTTTACTTCTTAAAAGCAGCTTGGTTTGTTTCACACTTTTTAGGCTGTTTCGGTGATGATGATATTTTAGCTAGATTGAATTTGGGCAAGTTCCCTAATTTCTGAACCTTGGTTTTGGCATATGGAAAATGGCAATAATAATGCCTACTTCACAGTATTGTTGAGGGGATTAAGTAAGTTTTCTAAACATCTTAGGATGATGCTGGCTCGTAGGAGGCATGCAGTAAAGGGCAGATATGTTAATAGTACTTACCATTTTGCAGTTATGTGTAACAGTCACATTATTATCGATGTTAACGTGTTGAATATTTGCATTTTAGGAGTGGTGGAGTAATTTGATTAAATAGGTATACTAATCTCTGCTACTTTAACTGTAAATTTGTCAGATCTAGTGTTTTTTTTCATTTTAATATTTGTAGTATCTGGCATAAGACCAAATACGTAGGGTGAAGTGAAATAAAATCTAGGTGTCCACGAGAGTGTTTGTTTAAAGTTGAAGACAAGATGTAAACAATTTCCACTTATCCATTCCTTGTCTTTGTTCCTTATGAAACTATTAAAAAATAGCTATTATCCATATACTCTCTCTTTCCTCTTTATATAGACTAATATTAATATAAATAATCATTACCATCTCCCATATACTGAGTGTTTACTATGTCCCAGGCACTAGACAAATCCTTTTGTGTCTAGTATCTAATTTAATCATCCCTGTGATAATCTCACACAATCCTATGAGACAGGTATTGTTACCTCTATTCCGCAGAAGAACAAACTGAAGTTCAGTAAAGCTAAACAACTTCCCTAATCACACAGCTAGTAGGTGGCAGAATAAAGATATGAACTGAGATCTTACTGACTGCGAAGTCCTCCCACCCTTAATCACTATAATACCAACAATGGCTTATTTAAAAACAAACAAACTACAGGAAGATTTTACATTTCACCCACTGATTTTAAAAATAAAAAGCCACAATGCTACTTTCTTTTTTTTTTTTTTTTTTTTTTTGCACAAGCTCCAGACACGCAGGCTCAGCGGCCATGGCTCACGGGCCCAGCCGCTCCGCGGCATGTGGGATCTTCCCGGACCGGGGCACGAACCCGTGTCTCCTGCATCGGCAGGCGGACTCTCAACCACTGCGACACAGGGGAAGCCCCACCATGCTACTCTCTTAAAACCAAAAGACATGGCTGTTTTTGTAAAGGCATTTGATGTAATCTTGTATTTGCAATTTTCTATCTGAATAAATTAAAGAGGTATGCAGAGGGCAGAAGCATCGGAGACTAAGCAGGGACGGTGTGGAGCAAGTGTTAGAAAAGAACAAATATATATTACACATAAGGAGATGTATAAAAATGTGTAAGAATTAATCAAATTCTTTGAAGAAAAACCTAATAAAAGCACTCATGATAAAAAATAAAATCAGGGCTTCCCTGGTGGCGCAGTGGTTGAGAGTCCGCCTGCCGATGCAGGGGACACAGGTTCGTGCCCCGGTCCGGGAAGATCCCACATGCCGTGGAGCGGCTGGGCCCGTGAGCCATGGCCGCTGATCCTGCGCGTCCGGAGCCTGTGCTCCGCAACGGGAGAGGCCACAACAGTGAGAGGCCCGTGTACCGCAAAAAAAAAAAAATAATAATAATAAATAAATAAACAAAATCAGATGGCTTATGCACTGGTTTTCTTTAACAGACGTGAAACTGAAGCGCTTTATTAGTAGACAATCACTTCAAAATAGCAGGATGGTTTCTGGTTACAAAATAGGGAACACTTATCCCTTGATTTCTAGTACTCTGATCACAAATGAAAAACCTGAGACTACAAAGGTAAGAGTGGAAAGATACTACAGCCAGGTACATCTGCATTCCAAGTATTAGAGATTTCATTTTTATTTTATCAATAGATCTTTTTATACCTAAGCTGCATCAGTAAGACTGAAAAGTAAGAATATACAATGAAGAGGGTAATTTCATTAGAACCAAGTTTAAAAAAATCCTACTTAGAGAAAAGTATATAAAAAGATTGATTAACAAAAGATAAATACTAAGACTTAAAAATAAACAATAATAGTAATATTAGATAATAATTATATGATGGTTACTTTATGGCAGGCATCATTCTAAAGTGCTTTTTAGATATTTTACGTATATTATATATTGGAAGAATATTTGGCAATCTCATTTAAATCTTAGAGGTGTATGACTGTGCGTAAATCTTGTGGTATTTCACTGGATTTGGTGATATCACATAGAGATAGCAATCTTACCCTCTTCTGAATAGATTCTTGTATTTTCGATAAAAATACAATTTCAATTCAGCATCTGATTCCTGTAGGATTTACTGTTCAGGGGAAAAAATATTAATACAAAAGTAATTGCCTTTCCCCCCTCCCCCTCTCCCCAAGTACCCTATGCCTCTTAAGGGAAAGTATTTTAAAGCAACTTGTATAAAATCTGGCATAATAGAAAGTAAAAGTACCTGTGAAGCAGGACAAGAATGTGGTCAAATTCAGAAATGCAAAGTTGCATTTTTAGAGTAATGTCTCCATGTGAAAAAACTATACAAACCCTTTAAGACAGACACTTGAGTGAAGCTGGAGCACAACTATTAGAAAACTTTTACCTTTGCTAAAATTGAGTCACATAAATCACTTCCTTCACTGAACATTTGGTGGGTCCTAATGCTGTAAAATGGAGGGGTGGTTAGTTCCCATTGATTATTACCAACACGTTGGTATTTGGAAACAGTCAATCTCTTAAAAAGGGATACCAAATTTATCTTATCTAGCTACTTAGCCTCCCACTCTATGCATTAGCCATGCAGAAGGAGAATTCATGGAACTCCTGGAGAAATGAATACATGGTAATTAACCATGCCTAGTTTAGTAACAGGCATTAATATGAGCAAGCAAGCTAAACTCTTTCATAATTGAAGAGTGTCTCTTAGAGAATGAAAATGTAATTTTCTTCTGCTGCCGCATTCAGTTTCTCAGTGGACAGGGCCCGCAGGCCACATTTTCTGGTGAATGTGGTTGAATTACAATATGTGATACTTAATAAACATTCCTTTAGAATTCTTTTAAAATACTCTTAAATAACTTTGCATCCCTACAGAATTAAGGCATTTGGAGATGCTGCAGTCAATTCATAGAATTTAATAAAAGAAGCATTAACTCTCTACTGAATTTCTCATATTATCAAAAAGAATTCCTTATAAAAATGCAAGGGAAAAATACAGAATTCATGATAAAAGGTCACTGGATGAAGGTTTAAATCTGATTTAGTCATTTACATCTAATTATTAATATTTAAAAGTAAATTGTTCTTTTAGAGTTAAGATATATTGTTCATATATTAAATATGTAGATGTCACTTATCATATATTAAAAAAAAATCCTGGTTTTGTATGTTAGATATTCATTGGCTACCCCTCCTTGAGAATAGACTTAACAGTGAAATCTTTCTACATAAATGTATTGTCATGGTAAGGTATGCAAGCTAAATATCTTAGCCAAAAAGAAAAAACCATTTGGATTATGATTACCTTAATTTTTATATGTAGGCTGAGAAGTATATGGCTATATATTATATATGGCTATATATTATGAACTACATTAACATAATGCATCAATATATGCATATTTCTAGCCAAAAATGTCTACAGTTCCAAATAGCTCTCCTTCGTTAACATAATGTAGCAGGCATCAGCTAAGTTTTGGAAAAATAAGCATTCATATAAGATGTAATTTTAAATGACAATTCCTGAAATTAGAATAAATATGAATGAGTCAATGAGGTTTTAGTAATTCAATTTTTTTTTTTTTTTTTTTTTTGCGGTACGCGGGCCTCTCACTGTTGTGGCCTCTCCCGTGGCGGGGCACAGGCTCTGGACACGCAGGCTCACTGGCCATGGCTCACGGGCCCAGCCACTCCGCGGCATGCGGGCTCTTCCCAGACCGGGGCACGAATCCGTGTCCTCTGCATCGGCAGGCGGACTCTCAACCACTGCGCCACCAGGGAAGCCCAGTAATTCAATTTTAATACTAATATCTTATTTCTCAAACTTCAATATTCATATTTGTGTAATTTTCTTACATGGAATGAATATTGGAACTCTACTTCCACATACACACACACGCACATGTTTATCGGCTGTTTGCGTGTTTTGTTTTCTAGCCTAGAATTTATACATTATGTTTATAAATTTGTTGTTTGGTTTGCTGGTCTAGCTCCCCTATTACGTTTTAAAGTATTCAAGGGCAGAATAATATCTTTGGTTGGGTTTGATTTTGCAAACACACTGTAGACAGGAGAGAGAACTGACTTTACCCTAGAAGAATTTACAGAAGGAAAGCAAGGCCTACAAAAAAGGTAATTTTGTTGTGGGGTGGTAATGTAAATGTACTGTCATAACAGGGAGGTGCATAAGTGAGGCAAAATGAGGGTCACCTGCTCCATCACGTGGTTCATGGAAGGCTTCCTAGAAGAACTGGTGCCAGACCTGTACCCTGAAGGCTAAGTAAATAATATCTGGCAAAGGTATGTGAGGAGGGCATTTTAGGCCAATGCAAAAACATACATAAAGGGCTTCCCTGGTGGCGCAGTCGTTGAGAGTCCACCTGCCGATGCAGGGGACGCGGGTTCGTGGCCCGGTCCGGGAAGATCCCACAAGCCACGGAGCGGCTGGGCCCATGAGCCATGGCTGCTGAGCCTGCGCGTCCGGAGCCTGTGCTCCGCAACGGGAGAGGCCACAACAGTGCGAGGCCCGCATACCGCAAAAACAAAACAAAACAAAACACCATACATAAAGACCCTGAGGCATAAAAGAGCCTATGGTGTCTGTGGCATAACTGCACACAAGCACAGGGATAGTACCTACTACAAAAACTGAACGTGGTGAGTGGCCCGAGATAGGGTCGAGGAAGTGGATGGTAGTCAGAACATCAAGGCCCTGCACAGAGAATTTTAAGCTTCTTCCTGCTTATTTATGGTTGCATCTTGGCACCTAGAGCCCATGACTTGCTTGCCCTTCTTCCAACAAAGTAGAAGATTATTTTTTCTCCAGCTATTATCAATTTAAATATGAATGAAATACAGAAGACTGTAGATGCAAATGATATTCAGAGACAATCTATTGAAAAATCTTCTAAAATGAAGCTAAGAATATTGATTCATATCTGAAACTAGGTCTTGGTAAGTAGTATAGAATGATCAATGAGTCAGCCTGTGTCTCTGGGCAGGACTGAATGAGTATGAAAGAATACTTTTTTTTTTTTTTTGGCGGTACATGGGCCTCTCACTGTTGTGGCCTCTCCCGTTGCGGCGCACAGGCTCCGGACGCGCAGGCTCAGCGGCCATGGCTCACGGGCCCAGCCGCTCCGCGGCATGTGGGATCTTCCCAGACCGGGGCACGAACCCGCGTCCCCTGCATCGGCAGGCAGACTCCCAACCACTGCGCCACCAGGGAAGCCCTGAAAGAATACTTTTTAAAAGATGGAGGAGCTGGAGGAAGAGAAAGAAGCGGAGGAAGAAGAGAGCGACACAAGACAAAATTCAACAGCAGTGGCAAGAGTTTCTCTGCGTCAGAACCTTCATTGATACCCTCCCTCCATGTTATCAGAGGGAGTCACACGGGAACCTCTCACCTGGGGAGGTATACTTCCACTTTTTGCTTCTTCACAGAGTTTGCCCATTCTTCAATCAGCTGTGCTTTGACCAATGGCTCCAGAGTGGCCAGTGGAACTTCCTGTCTGGACAAGACCAGCATCATACTTATCTCATCCCCCTCATAGGGTATTTCCAGGACTTGGTAGATACCACCAGCTTCATTGGAGCCGTCACTAAATTCCCCTAAAAAGAACAGAAAGGTGATAAAAGGCCCCTATCAAGGCTTAACTAAAATGTTTACATTTGTTATAACTTTCTTCCAAAATAGTGTGTAGAATATAAAAAATTCAGGCATCTGAGAAGAAGAGGGTTTATTTTAAAGTAAGCCCTGAAATTCAAGTGAATCCTCAGCCCTACAGAATTTATTTTATTTTAGGATCCCCAGAATTGTTTCACATTTGTCATGTCATGTTCTCTAGACTTACTTTTTATTTTTAAATGAGATATCTCAAATGAATATATTTTAAGGATATCATTTAAAAAAATGAAACATCATGATTAGAAAAATAAAGCCCTGGATCCAAGTTGGATGTAAATCACATTTACCAATATCCACCCGATTTCTAAGAAGGGAAAAACTGACTACATAATACCTGGTACTCTATTATAACCGCAGCTAAAAGTTTTGAGGCCAAGGTAGCACAGCCAAAGTGAAATCTACTTCATTCGGCAGTAGTTATCCAGAGCATTTGTGGTGATTAAAATCTCCAAATTAGATAATTAGGTAAATTAGGTAATTGGCTTTGTGTTCTATGAACTTAGCTAAGTTGACCAGGCTTTCATTAAAAAAAAAAAAAAAAAAATTTTT